AAAGCAGGCTACTTGAAGTGGATTGGGGAACCATGAGCATGGGTCAAGTTTGAGCCATGTTGTTGACATCCTCATTGATGGAATCTTAGCCATGATACTAGGGTGTAACTGCGAAGAATGGGTACTGCATGTGTCCAGTCGATAATTTTACTGATGAGGGCCTTGTTTGTTCATCCATGAAGGAAGATGAAGCGAAATACATATTTTGGCATTGGCTCAGTTGACCCCGCTGTGGACAAGTGGTGAACAATTTCAACCTCCTTCTAATAGTTTTTCAAGATGGAAAACCTTGCAAACTTGCTGGTTTCACTTGTGAAACCAGAGATTCATCGGCCAAGCTGTGAATATACCAGTTTCCAACATTTTGGGAACAGAAATGTGCATCCCCTGTAAAGGCCATTCCCAGACTGTTCATTAGTGCTCCCTGGCCGCTGCGTTTTGTTTGTTGGTTTCTAGCATGTTTCTAGCCGAATCTAGCAATCACCATCACCATCACCATCATCATCATCGTCATCATCATCATCATCACCATCATCACCATCATCATCGTCTTTATCGGCATAATAACCATCATCGTCGTCATCATCATATTATGTTTTCACCACCACAAATGTTCTGACTATTTCCAATATGTTTGATATATATATATATAGTGTGTGTGCATGATGTGTATGATACTTGCAAACATGTGCACATTATACGAGACAACATACCTATTCACATTTTTTTTGGTTCGTTCAACTCTTCGTTGCAAAGGATAGTATGCAATCAGAGACGAATATAGTACTCCATATAATTATAGATACATTTTTTAATTATGATAGCTTTGTAACATCCACCAGCATAATGTCGCAAACTCTCCAAAATCACACCACACCCAATGATTCACCAAAAATGGGTGGTGTAAACACTTTGAAATTGGTCGCGTTCGCACATTGTTTCAAACCATTCGCCCACTTGGTTTCCGTCAGCCAGGCTTTATTCTATGTACAATGTACACATAAATATATATATATATACACATTTATTATAAATAGTATATTTTATATGATCTATATATATATATATATGAAATATATATATATGTATCATTTATATCTCTAATTATCTATATAGTATTTTCCAATTCATTCTGCCAGACATATCTATAGCATTCCCTAGTTCAACAAGCACCAGCCAGGGCTTAGGGGTCAGCACCTCAGGAGTCTGAGCCTCAGGAGCCACTCCTGGATCAGCTCATGGAGACTGAAACGGACCTGGAGGCCTTCCAGCAGCTCCCCCCGGAAGCCAAGGGGGAGCAGAGAAAAACGCCGCAAGTGCCATGGAAAAAGTGGGGAAAACGTGGAGAAAATGGGGAGTGAACAGAACGAAAATCGAAGTTTCACCAGTTTTGAGGGATATTTTTTTGGGGGATAGTTCATGGGATATGTGAGGCCAACATGCGTGATACTTGGGTGCGTCCTCGAAGGCAATGAATTTAAGCCTCTAACTCTAATTGGTAAATCCCTGGTGGCTAATGGTTGGTGGATGGCATACTGAGCATGGCACCCAAGCAACAGCAGGGGGATAACGCTTTGTTTGGGCCATTGCGCAAATATTCTCATGGACGCGCTGCCTCACTTTTGGGCATCAAGTGACTTATGTAGTTGTGTAAAGTAAATCCAAGGATTGGGGGGCCTTGATTGATTGTTTGCTGCAGATGGGAGCAGCCTGCCCAGATTATCAAGGTGAAGTGGAGTCACTACACTTGGATTTGCCCAGAAATGGGCTCTGCTTCAATTCTGATAAACAACAGGATTTTGTCACATTTGTTCTTGGGGGTATCTAGGCATCCCACAAAGCTGTCACTTGACTTGGATGGGATATCTCAGCTTAGCCGCAGCCTAAGGATCCCGTGTTTGCAAAAGTTCACCAGAGATATGATCCAAAGGAGGACTGTCAGGGATATATGCGCGTCATGTGGCCAATGTGGGGTCTTGGATGGTCTGGGGATGTTTGGATCAAAATTTGAGAATCCCTGGGAAACACAGGTGTTTGTGATTTTAAATTGCATCGTTGGAACATGTTGAGCATGATCTTTTTTGGGGTCCCCAACATTTCAAAGTATGTTCATGCGATTTACTGTACGGAATGCACTGAACCCTTGCAAGTGGAGGCAGGAAATTGAGGGGAGATTTGTTTGTAGCACAGTCATATTCACAATGTTCTTCAATTTATTCTCCAATGCGATTTTAATTCAAAACATTTTGTATGTTTTTGTCGTGGTTCTTTGTGTCCCTCATTCCTTTGCCACAGCCATGTTCCTTTATTGTGCTTATATAAACAATGATGTTTTTCGAATATGTTCGAATCTCTTCTTGCTTTTGCTCCTTTCCTTGTACTGGACGACGTTGAAAGGGGAAACGTGTACAGATAGGTTTGGCCAAGAAACAAACATGTGATAACGTATCCGTTGTTTGGAAAGGCCCAGTTCTCAACTGAGACAAGAAATCCGGCAGCAAGTCATTGAGTCTAAGAAAACCTTGGGGGAGTAGCCATTAACATCCAGTAACTGTAGTTTTTGTTTAAGCCCTCCAAGTCACCAAGATCTTTCACCGTTTTCTGTCCAGAACCAAGAGCTGCAAGCTGAGCTGGGTCAAGGCTTGTTGGACTATGGAGGCAGAGCCAGCAGTGCCAGCAGGGCCCTCTGCTATTTCAACATAGCCATGGCAAACGGTCTATTTCTGGTTGGTGGTTTGTGCACTTTGGAACATCAATTTTATGACTTTCCATATATTGGGAATGTCATCATCCCAACTGACGAACTCCATCATTTTTCAGAGGGGTAGGTATACCACCAACCAGTAAACATGGTGACTTTCCAGTTCGCAAAGTGTGATGACCTGATTTTTCCTCCTGGGCTTCCGGCGGGATCCCGGAAGCCCCCGAAGCCACCAATGGGGCCCATGAATTTCTGAAGCCAAGGGCAGCCACGAATTCTCTTCATTTACTCAGAATGTGTGTTGAACCCAACACCAGGCCATACCAGGTCCAAATGCAGATGTTTGAAGCCATAAAAATTGGATCAAGCACACGTTTCTTTTGCTAGTTACTGGCTGGTGGTTTCGGTTCTTGTCAATGCCAAATATCAAACCTGGGATGAATCGATAGATAATAACAATCAACAGTTGAGGCCTTTGAAGCACGCCTTGTCTCATCACTTTGTTTTTTTATTTGTGTATTATATATACATATATATACATTATTGTCGTCATTTATTGTCTATATAGTTTCACCACTTTGTTCTACATTTGCAGAAGCTTCAGGTTCCAAGAGCACCAGGATGGCCTTGATTTCCAGGACGACATATACATGTATGGTTATATTGATGATGTATAGCTGGTTGGTTGGTGGTTTGGAACATCAATCTTATTTTTCCATATATTGGGAATAATCATCCAACATATCCCAACTGACTTTCATATTTTTCAGAGGGGTCCAAACCACCAACCAGATAGGTGTTTCTGTCTATCTTTGCATCTTTGCTCTATTTTGGATGCAATGATGCCACCTCCTTCCACAACTTCAACCTCGTTGTGGAGGTCGCAATGGCTGGCGCTTTTGCAAGAATCCGGTCACCGGAGAAACGGGTTTTGTCCCCAAATGGGTCTTCGACCCTTGCCTGAACAAACAATGGGTGGAGAGAGAGGACTTCACAGGGTAACGGGGGATCCAAGGAGCAATTAATATAAACAAAGTTGAAGACAAGTCAAAATGAAAGAAAATTAGTTGAAGTTGATGGAACGTTGATTGGCCAGGGGATCCGGGCATGGTGGACAACAAGAATCATGGCCCGGTTTTTTTTTCCCCGGCTTCACGGTGTCGAAAGTTGACATTTCACATCCAGGACAAGGAAAATGGCAAAGTTGGAACGTATGGGATGCAAAGGGCAAAGAAACAGATGTAACTTTTAAGGGCAGGTTCCATTTATAGAGTAAGACCAGGTGGCCGGCAAACAGTTGGCTTGATGTTTTCCTGCTCAATTTGTTTTGGGTGATTGGGGGGACTTCAGCTTTGGAAATTTGAGACAAACACACCAGCAAGCATTGACATCCAATAAAACCATTATAAAACACTATAAAATTCCCGTGTGGTTGGCACCCTAGCATCAAAGCACATAAAAGCTCTTGGCGGCACGCAATCACCTCTTTTGCTGGTTGAACCCTCACGTTTGCTGCTGAGATCTCCAATTTTGTTAAGTCTCAGTTTGTTTGAATTGGTTGCTCAATCTTGCTCCTAAATGTGCATGTTCGGTGCTACCAGCCGCATGACATCCTTTATGTAGTCAAATCCCCAGTTTTGAGCGTATGTTTGATAAGTCCAACTGAGGAGCAACGCCCCTTTGGTGTGGTTCAGCGGATAGAGGCCACGACGGGGAAGTACATCGAAGCTGGCCATGAATTCAGCCGGTTTGCTGGTTCATCCCGGTGAGTATTTGTGGGTTAGTTCACCCCAGTGAAACAACTGGACATTGCCCCTGCCCTACTTGTAACATCCTGGAACTGGAGCGAATTCATAAGGGAACATCAAAAATCATAAAAACCGATTCCTGGGATGAACCATCAAGTAGTGTCAGCCGTGGACTAGCAAGCACTGGTTGTTTCATGGCACCCAGTTCGTCCCTACCCTTGACGATCCCCTCACTGTGAGTTAACCCAGGCCATCGGGAACTTGCCAGCACGTGATATTTAAAGAATTGGGAAATCAGCCACGAAATGAGGTGTGGGGAGGTCTGACCACCCAAAATGTGACAAGCAACTAGCAACTGAAAAACACGGGTTACATCTTCATGCAAATTTATCCTGATGGGGTAAGTTTTCGTCATGCTGGTGAATCAAATGAGCTATCTGAGCTCCGTGCCGGTGTGCAACCCACTTAGTGGGTTGTAAGCCCCTATAACTGCGTTAACTTATGGTTATTGATCACTCACTGGGCACAGTGTAATGGCCACAAGAATTACA